CAAAATTCCAACTTCATGCGTTCACTGTAAACCAAACTTTTCCCAATTTAGAACCATTTGGTACAGTTCACACACTTAGTAACCAATTTCAAAAACCACCTCCATATATCTAACTTACTTTCCAGCCTACACTTTCATACCAAATTCCATGTTTTTACCTCTACCCGTTCGCATGATAGCAAATGGTACCATTTTAGAAGTTTAGCACCAGCTAAAAACTTTTCGTAACCTCTAAGTTTGAATTTCCAAAAACCTTTTGGTACATCTAACCTGCACGTCATGAGTGACTCTCATTCCAAATCCTAGCTCATTCCGTATTGTCCAATTCAAAGTCTTTAATTTTTAGTACCTTCTAATACCTTTCACACCTTTTTAGTACAAATTTCCAAAAAGCAAGCCTTATCACAAGCCAAAACTGGTCTTCGTACAAAATGTCAAGATTCTAACTTCAGACGTTTCGTCTGGTCTTTGATTATCAGTCTGTCAGAAAGTTATTTCATTGCTCTAGTCTTAAATTAGTCTAAAATGTTTCCACTTGCGATGTTCTTAGAGCAGTGAAATACAAATTTGAAAAATAATTTAACATTTGATGAATTCTTATTTTGGCTTCCATCATCAGTAAGGCACACGAAATAATTATTACGTAAAATACTAGTGGTCTAAAAAAGATCTCATATCTGCATCTTTTCACTTTTCCCATTGCAAAGAATTCCAGCTTACATAAACTGCGTTTCTTCAAATGCTGATTTGGCATTTTTCGACACACTCCTACCACGAAGTCAACAAAGGCTCATGGTGGCAATACGTACGTACTGGTGTTTGGCACTTGAGATTGTCCCTCCCCAGCAGGAGGAAAACAACACTTATGAATGGCATCATTTAAAATAACATAAATAAGATTAAATCTGTTGTAATATTTCGGAAAATATTAAAATTGGGAAAATATCCCACCAAAACGAATCGATTTTCCGTTAAGTACAAACATATTAATACGGCACATACGGTGCACACACACACCACCACACACTTACTCGCTCAATAGCTGACTTCTTCACTGCGATGACGATGATGAATTTGGGGTTAGCAATGACTTATGAGCACTGCAAAGGTCCTTGTGTGATGCATTCGTACAAAAATGGGGTACCTAAGTGCATGCTTCAAGTGAACTAAAAATAGTAACAGCCTTTTGCATTTTCCAGCAACAACAACAACCAAAAACATCTTTTGGAAGGAAAGAAAAACAATAACATTGCCATGTTTTCCTCCATATTCATATGCATATGAGAACAGATGTATTCGTCTATATATGTGCCTACTTGCAGATGAGCTGTACTTTTGGAGTACTCATATGGTTTTTGTGGAAAACAAGGTGTTGAATTACCTCGACTTATGTGGTGTGGTGGTGGTGCATTGCAAGAAGCCTGCCATTGTTTCTGGGATCTGCGCCGAAAAAGACCCCCCATGTAAAGATGTTTTTGTTAAGGCTGTCAGGGAGCTGCGCTGCACAGTGGTTTTTGTCATCACTCATATTTTAAAGATTTCTGTAATTCGAGGGTAAATATATTGGAACTAATTTAGCGAAATATTATGCCAAAATGAGAGTTCTTAAAAACGCATATTTTCGCTAGTTTGAAGAAAAAACAAGTAAAAAGCTGTGAGTCCGAACTTTGAATACCCTCCACAATTTGGAATGAATTAGGCAATTTTCAAAAAAAAAAAAAAAAATCCGTCAAAAAATTCTGATAAAATACCGAATGTAGCCGTTATATTAGGGGCCTACATATGCAACTTTTGTCATAAGCCATTACAATATTCAAATTCGAAAATTAAAAAAAAAACAAGTAAAATAGTATCAGTCGGTTTTGCCGATAAATGTGTACCCCCAGCCTTGAGTTATGAACATGACAGATTTGGACTATATCGACTACTTCTGGTACTTTATATGAAATATGTGCACATTTCCGGAAAATGGAAATATGCGTCCGAAGTATTCCATTTTCATATTTCATCTAATACAGATAAAATATATTGGTATGTGCAAAATTTGAAGGAAATCGAACATTCGTATCCAATTTTATGCGAAATCATAAATTCCGAAAAATTACTTATTCATATCAGAATTCTGGTTAAGAGAAATATTTAGATATAGTAAGTTGTAAAGAATCGCCGACTGGTTCCGCAAGTTATGACAGTTATAAGTTGGCAGATGTAGTTCATCTTCACAACAGATCTTGTGTTAGAAATAATGTCTGTATGTGGGAAATTTGAGGAGATGAATTGATGCATTTGGATGCTTTTTTTCGAATTCCTTGAGCATTTTGTTTTTAAAAATCTTGAACCCTATGTGGGGAGGTACCAGAAAAAATGGACTGATTTCTACCATATTTATAACAGATCTTGTGTTGATGAAAATATTGAAAAGCTCCAAGTCTGAATAGAATCGGATGTTAATTTTGCGTTTTACGAGCTTCATGGATACTCAAAATTTTGACCCTTTGTGAGGGAGGTACCAGAAGGAGTGGACCGATGTATTTTATCTTGGCACCGGACCTTGGCTTAATAAAATTATTGGGATATGTGAACTTTGAACACAATCAGTCTCTTACATGGATGTTAATTTTGCGTTTTATGAGCTTCATGGATACTCAAAATTTTGACCTTATGAGGGGGAGGTACCAGAAGGAGTGAACCGATATATCCCATCTTCACACCAGATCTTAAGTTAGTAGAAATAATGGGACGTGTGTAATATGAAGAGAACCGGGTGTTTATTTCGGATTCTTTGCTTGTTTTGATTGAAACTTAGGTCCTTTGTGTGGGAGGTACCAGAACGAATGGTCCGATCTCTACCATCTTTATAAAAGATCTTGCGTTTATGAAAATATTGAGATGTGCCAAGTCTGAATGAAATCGGATGTTAATTTAGTGTTTTAAAAGCTTGATGGATATTGAAAATTTCGAACTTTTGTGGGGGAGGAGTGGACTGATATTATCAATTTTTACACCAGACCTAGTACTTACGCAAATATTAAGATTTGCAAAGTTTAAGCAAAATCTGATTATCGTTTCTCTTTCTGTGCAAAAAATATATATATTTTAAAATTTCGACCATTTGTGGGGGAGTTACCAGAAGGAATGGACCGATATATTCCATCTTAGCATCAGACCTTGGGTTAACATAAATATTGGCATGTGTGAAATTTGAAGACAATCGGACTATTATATCACATTTTATAAGAGTTGTAATTATTCAAAATTTTGACCATTTGTGGGGGAGGTACTTGATGGAGTGGACCGATATTGTCCATTTTCACACTTGACCTAGCATTGACGCAAATATTAAGATTTGCAAAGTTTAAGCAAAATCTGATTATCGTTTCTCTTTCTGTGCAAAAAATATATATATTTTAAAATTTCGACCATTTGTGGGGGAGTTACCAGAAGGAATGGACCGATATATTCCATCTTAGCATCAGACCTTGGGTTAACATAAATATTGGCATGTGTGAAATTTGAAGACAATCGGACTATTATATCACATTTTATAAGAGTTGTAATTATTCAAAATTTTGACCATTTGTGGGGGAGGTACTTGATGGAGTGGACCGATATTGTCCATTTTCACACTTGACCTAGCATTGACGCAAATATTAAGATTTGCAAAGTTGGAGCAAAATCGGATTACTGTTCCTCTTTCTGTGCAAAAAATAAATTTTTTGAAAATTTTAACCTTTTGTGGGGAGTTACCAGAAGAAGTGGACCATTATTGCCCATCTCCGAACTTGATCTAGGTTTGACAAAAACATTACGATGTACCAAGTTCGGACCACATCGGATACTCCCTTCGACAGTTATTGTGGTATCTATTACGAACTTCAAATACCAAATTTGAAACAATTCCGGTGAATAATGTCGCTAAAATCATCAAAATACCGAATATGGAGATATACTGTTATATGGGAGATATACCTACATGGCCAATTTTCAATAACAAAAGTCCTGCAGACATGATATATATTCTAGTAAAATGTTATCAACCTACTTCAATTCGTTAGGAAGCTTCAGACAGACGGAAATCGCTAAATCTAAAATGTATATTTCGAGGTGTTACAAACGGAATGACAAACATAATATACCCTCCATACTATTGTGGAGAGTATAAAAATATGTTAGACAGTGTCAGTCCGTTTTCCCGATAGAAATATACCCTCAGCTAATGGAAAATGGAGATGTGAGAAGTTCGGTGCAAATCGTGTAAAATTATATGGAATTTTATATGAGTTATGATTTTACAAAATGTTGACGCTTTGTAGGAAAGTTAGCAGAAGCACGTGGCGTATGTTGTCGGTGTCCGCACTAACAATATTTCTGATAAAAATATTCCTTCCTTAGATTTTTACGAGACATCTCGTTTTTTCGAATCTTATATTTGTTGGTATGGTGAAAGTAGAAGTGTCCCGATACATCCCGATACATATTCACAGAGGATCAAGTAACTGCAAGTAGATTTCATCCAAAGAAACATTTGGAATTAAATCAAGATTTTGATAAGAATTTTTTTAACATTCCTTGTAACCATAATGCTCGAAACAATTTTCATAACCTAGTGGAAAATTATTTTTGTTTTATTTCAAATCTAATATCGAAAAATATGGCATCTGAGCCTAAGTCCTCCACCCTAGCATATGGTATTAAAATACAAAAATACGACTTATCCACAGCAATTGGGTGGATTGAATAAACCAATTATCTATCCAACTATGAAAAGAATTAAGAAAATATATTTATCCGTTCTAAAGTTAGAACATTTAGAAAATAAATTAAAATTCTGAATCACTGTGCACTGTCAAAACCTAGAAATGAAAGTGAAAATGCTGGCTGGCCGATTGAGTGAAAACAATTGTTCAAACGCGTAATTCCATTAACCACGCTGCTGATTGTTTTGTTAAATTTTGGTAGCGCCCTCTTTTCGTGATGCCGAAGACAGCGGCTTTTCTTACTTTTCCTCGTCCTGGCGTGTTTATTCTTTTGCTTAGTGACTTAGAAGGCAAAGGAAAACAAGAACATTAGCTTTGGGTGTTGCAGGATTGGTGTAGAGCCTGGAAAAAAAGGATCATCTTTCACATTCTTTTGTAACAACAAACTACTAACGAAGAGAAAAGAAAGAAGATCCTTTTTGGTGGTGGCGAGCATTTTGTTGTTGTTGTTGCTCTACTCCTTGCCATCTTTTGTTGTTAATGAAATTCGTAGAATTTTACACTGTTGCCTTTTGTTCTCGCCCCTTGGGAAGACAAAGGCAAGCGGACAGACGGACAGACATTAACATAGTTTTGACTCTTAAATTAAATTTCGGGGTATTTCATCATCACATCACCCAGCCGGGGACTTTGTGATGTAAGAAGGTTACACGACGGACCAGTCTCGGACTACCTGATGGTGGCAAATTCAGTGTTGAATGGCATTCCCTTGTCACTTTGGTACAGCCAACGTGTGCAGTAGCGTGTCCTTTTTTCCCTAAGCATTGTACAATTTTAGCTCATTATTGTTGTTGCAGCAGCCATTTGTGTCCTTTTTCAGTTGCATTACTCGATGCGGTTGAACGCCGGGTACAGCCCTGTTGTAATGCCGTAATTGTAGCTGTGTAGCGGGGTTCAGCTACTCCTGGTGATGATAATGATGTGTGCACGTTGACGACAAGAAGTCAATTTTCAATTTACGACCATTTTGAAATGAGTAATTTCTCTGCTTGCTTGTTTTTTTTTTTTTTTTGCAGACGAACGAACAGTGGTTCCGAGAAGACAAATTAGGATGTGACTTTTCCGATGATTTGGGACGTTAATGAGTTTATAGAAAAATATTGTCATTACGCCTTGGAAATGACTTCGTCGTATCCATTAACCCCTAAATGGCATTTTAAGCATGGTTAACATTTATGACATGTCATCTATTTGATTGACCACAATGCCGTTTAGAAAGTCGCAAAATTTTAATGTTTTTTCCAACGAAAATTTTAGGTTCACTTATTTTTTTTTTTTTTTTTTTGATTGTCATTTAGACAATATGTGGAAAAAAGAAAAAAAAAATTGTCCTTCATATAAAATCAAAATTTAAAATAAATTCGTAACAGTTTGTTTTGGATTACATATGCGATACGATACGATATGCTCAATTGTTCCTCATTTATTTATAACATTTACAATTTCAGATTTTGATAGGTCCCTATTTTAAGTTTGATTAATCCGAACTTTGCTTACTCTCCGATACAGGAAGACCTACACTCCAAGTTCGACCTGTTGACTCACAAAATCAAAAACAAACCGATTTTATAATACCCTACACCACTTTGCTAATTTAGTTGAGCTCCACTTAATACACGCTATGATTATAATTATAATTTAAAATTCAAAGGACGAAATATGCCGAAGCATTTGTATCTTTTAAATTCGGACTTGTATTGCCCATTTGGTGCGAAATTGATTTGAAATCGGATAAAAATATATATGGGAACTATATCCAAATCTGAACCGATCTCGATAAAATTTGGCAAAGATATTTCTGAGCTGTATTTGATATATTTCCCTGAATATCGTTGTTACGGAGTGCATATTACGGCTGTGGGTAACAAATACAATAAATCGGATGAACAATATATATGGGAGCTATAACTATATCTGAACGGATCTTCACCAAATTTGGCATACTACCTTCTAGGCTAAATTCGGTCGTATGTGCCAAATTCCATCCCATTTGGGCAAATATTAGACCTTTAGTGCACAATAAAAAGTAAATCGGACGAAGTTATATATGGGAGCTATATCCAAATCTGAACCGATCTCGATAAAATTTAGCAAAGGTATTTCTGAGCTGCATTTGATATATTTCCCCAAATATAATATATATTACGGCTGCGGAGGACAAAAATAACAAATCGGATGAAAAATATATATGGGAGCTATAGCTATATCTGAACCGATTTCGATAAAATTTGGCATACTTATTTTCAGGCCTAATTTGGTTGTATGTGCAAAATTCCATACTATTCGGGCTGATATTACAAGTTTGGTGCACAATAAAAGGCAAATCGGACGAAGATATATACGGTAGCTATATCTAAAGTTTGACCGATTATCTCCAATTTCAATAGGGTTCGTCCTTGGGCCAAACAAATGATATGTGCAAAATTTCATCTTAATCGGATAATAAATGCGACCTGCATTTTGTTCACAAGAATACATGAACAGACGGACGGATGGATAAACGGACTGACATGTATAAATCAACTCAGAAAGTGATTCTATGGAGATCCTTAAAAGTAACTATGGGTCTATCTCGTTCCTCTTGCCTGTTACAAACAAATGCACAAAGATATAATGCCCTGATCACCTTGTGATGTAGGGCATAAAAATTAGGGTTACTCTTATTTGAGCATCTTTCCATTGTAAACGTTAGAATTTCGAAATAAAAAATAGTTGAAAATTCTACTACTGCCTCCACAATCCTAAAATCGAACAGAGCGGATTATAAACCCTAAAAAGAAATTTGACGTGAAGAGATATTAAACCAGGGGCTTTTTGAAAAATATGATATGATATTGTATGCCAAAAGGAAAATATGGAAAATAATAAAATAATGATGTTCATACCTCGGCCTTTTGGAGCAGTCGACCCATTTTCGATTTGATAGACTACGAGATAGTTCCTTTTGATGATCAGCATAGAATCACATTCTGAGTCGATTTATGCATGTCCGTCCGTCTGTCCATGTATTTTTGTAAACAAAGTAAAGGTCGCATTTATTGCTCGATCTAGATGAAATTATGCACAACTCATTTGTTTGACCCAAGGACGAGCCCTATAAAAATCGGTCAAAGTTTAGTTATAGCTCTCATATATATATATATATATATCTTCGTCCGATTTGCATTTTATTGTGTACCAAACTATTAATATTAGCCCAAATGGGATGGAATTGAGCCTAAATTGAGCCTAGGAACAAATATGTCAAATTTGGTGAAAATCGGTTCAGATATAGCTATAGCTCCCATATATATTGTTCATCCGATTTGTTATTTTTTATAGTTTTTATATGAATCTCTACTAAATATGGAAAGGGATGTAGGATATCAAAAAGCCTTTCATTACTGGTTTTTTTGTTCCCACCCTTTACATCCAATTTGAAAATAAAACGAAAAATTCCTATTCAACAATTAAAAAAGGCTATAGCCGTGCGGCGCCGTCAATGTAATACCATACAACACTATAACTTATTGGAAAACTCCCTCAGGTCCACACCTTTTTAGCAGAATTTTTGAAATTATGTCATATGCAAAAATGTTGCCCTTTGTTTTTGATCAGCTATATTCCCCTATATATACGCATTCTGCCGTGTTGATAGATGTTCAACAAATTTTCACATTATCCACTAATATAATCCGATGGTCATCCAAAATGTTATGATTTTGATGTCTTCTAAATTCTAACCTCATGTGAAATTTCGTGTCGATTTTTTATACCCTTCACCATACATAGTATGGAGGGTATATTAAGTTCGTCATTCCGTTTGTAACTCATCGAAATAATCATTGTAGACCCAACAAAGTATATATATTCTTGATCAGCGTAAAATTCTAAGTCGATTTAGCCCTGTCCGTCCGTCTGTTGTAATCACGCTACAGTCTAAACGAATTAGGATAGGAAACAAAAATTTTGCACAGATCCCTCTTTTGTCTGCGGGCAGGTCAAGTTCGAAGTTGGGCCATATCGGTCCACGATATCGTATAGCCCCCATATAACGGTACCCCCGATATCCGGTATTTTGATGATTTTTCAACGGAATTATCTGAAAATCCACACAAAGAGTACCTTGTGGGTACTTTATACCTCGGAAGAGAATTATCTATATAGGTCACGATATCGTATAGCCCCCATATAACGGTACCCCGCGATATTCGGTATTTTGATGATTTTGGACACATTTTTCAACGGAACTGTCTAAAATTCTACACAAGGTTTTTTTTGAGTACTTTACCCCCTGAAGAAGAGTTGTCTATATAGGTCCACGATATCGTATATCCCCCATATAACGTTACCCCCTTATTTTGATGATTTTAGCCATATTTTCCTATGGTATTGTCTGAAAATTCACACAAGGAGTTCTTTGTGAGCACTTTAACCCCTGAAAGATAATTGTCTATATAGGTCCACAATATCGTATATCCCCCCATATATCGGCACCTTCCGATATAAGATATTTTAAAGATTTTAACAAAATTTTTAATGGATTTTATTTTTTGAAAATTTTCTAATTCGTTCCAAATGGTGGAGGGTACTTAAAGTTCGGCCTGGCCGAACTTACTGCTTTCTTACTTGTTTTTGTTTTGACTGGTATTATTGAAATATGAACTCGGGTGAAGCCATTGAACTTTAAAAAAGTGCAAGAACTTACACCCCAACAGAAAGAAAATAGGCTCAAAGAGCTAAAGAGTTGCTTCGCTTGGCCGAAAGTAGTGCACTGCCGAATTTGTTTTTCTCCGATGAGAAAACATTCGTGGTCGAGCAGTTTGTAAAGAAACAAAATGATCGTGTTTACTTGTCAAAGAGGTCAGCTTAAAAAAGGGGCACCTTTGGTTGGCCACCAGAACTCAAGCGCCGGCCATGGTGATGGTGTGGGCTGCCATAACAGGTGCTCGTAATAATCGACAGTGACATCAGAATAAATGCCGAATATTATCGCAAAAATATTCTGGAGAGTGTATTAAAGCATTGGGCACGCAAACTTTGGCCGCAGACCTTGGACATTCCAACAGTACTCAGCACCATCGGAATATTTTGGAAAGCAAGGTTGGCACTAAAAAATAACAAAGTGTCGATCACCTCAAGCAAGCGCTTCGCCGGGAATGGACCAAAATACCGCAGAGCAACATTCGGGCAGAGTGTGACGGATTATTGGTCGTTTGAAGGCCATAATTCGTGCCAACGGTGACCAATTCGAACAAATTTAAACTTATTCTAAAATGTGATGGTATTTCCGACATTAATTACTTTCATTCAATAAGATGTAAAAAAATATGTAAAAATTATGGCACTTGACTTTGTTGCAGTTTTTTTATCTCACCTTGTATATGGCGGTTACCAATTTACGGCATTTTTGAGATTTTAGACTACTTTTTTAACCCAGTTCGGCAGTTTATATTATCATTTGACAGAAAACATATTTGCGAAGAATAGTGTATATGATGGTATTGAGTCAAATGATGATTTTACAACGGAACCTTTGGATATTCGGAATTTTGACGATCGGCTGTGTTTTTAAGCGACATTTTCCCATGATTTTTTCCATATGGTCCTTATATTCTGAATTCAGCAAAATATTCCGAAATTTGGTATTGCGGGTACTAAATAGTTTCATTAAAATATATGCCTCATTTCGGTACCTATAAAAATAATTTCGAAAATGTTACTTTGCAAGTGGTACTTTATGTAACCACTGTGTTTTGTTTAATCAAATATTTGTAAAATTGTTGCATGTGCTAGCGCATATGTGTGAGCGTGTGCATGAAACTAATGTTCTTTCGTATCGGTGCAGATGTAAAAATTGTTTCGCGTTCGGTATTTTTCTCCTCATAATTATAATTTCTATTTTGTTGTAAATTTCGTTCTAATTTTTAGTGTCCCTTCAAGGAACAATGCATTCGAAATTAAATGAGCACACGGCATGTCTGTTACAATTACATCAACAACTTGATATTTGTAATTCTTTGTTATTGGTGTCTTTTGTTTCTTATCTCGAAAGACTATCTTAGTAAATGTTTCTCTTCGTCCGAGAGGTTCTATTGTCTTTGTGAATGGTAGTACGTTTCTTTGCCCATTGGGTGCATTTTTTTAATATTTTGAAGCGACATTTAAATGTTTTTTTTTAAAACTAAAAGTTTTTTTATACCCTCCTCCATACATAGTATGGAGGTTATATTAAGTTCGTCATTCCGTTTGTAACTCATCGAAATAATAATTTTAGACCCAACAAA